TTTATATTATTGAAGATCACAATTGATACGAACGCAACTACTATCAATGAATGCAAAAATGATACTAACAAGCAGCGGCACGATGCCTCTCCTCCACATTTTTGGAACAACACAAGAAAAGCGTGGTCGCGCTCATCCGCACACAAACGATTAAATAATCAGTATTAAGAGCTAAGGAAAGATACAAGAGAAAATGCTAATTCCTGGTTTTATTCACAATATTGTGAGTGTTTAATTTATTACTATTATAACCTTGCATGCTATGATAATTATGAATTGTTTAGTAAATAAAAGAACATTTCCTAATTCTATTCTGGAAGACCATAAGGAAAATAATTACCAACATATAAACATTTTTTCTCTTGTGTCTTTTCAAAGAATAGCACATATTAAATTAATAATATTGGTAATCCTTTATAGGGGATGTTGTGCATACAAGAAATTCTAATAGTCAGCTGGTAAGTTAGAAATTATTGTCTTCTTCAATTTATTTCTTTGTCTACAAAAGAATGTGGCTCTAATATAGAGCAGCCATCTGTAGAGCAAACAGTAAGTAGGTAACGAAATAAGTACAATATGTGTAACATTCAAGCAAGCAGCAGTAGAAAAAGCACAAGTTCCTTACGTGATCTTGAGCAAGCTATTGAATACTTAAACTCTTTAGGAAGTTGGATAGGAAATGAGCATTGGCTAGCAAGCATAGCAAAAAAATTAAATAAACAGTATAAGGAGCTAAGAGCAGACATAAGAAAAAATGTTAATTCTTGGTCTCATTCACAATATTGTGAGCGTTTAGCTTATCACTATTATAACCTTGCATGCTATTATAATGATGAATTGTTTAAGAAACATAAAGTTGACTTGGAAAGCGTAAGGGAGTATTTAGAAAAGTGTTTAGAAAAACTTGCTGAAGTTTCTGAAGAAGATTATTCGAATAAGATAAAAAAATTAAAGAATGACACTGAAAAATATTTAGCAGAAATAAGTGAAATATACAAGCAGCAGAACAATCTGCTAACAAAATATAGCAATTCTAATATAGAAAAGTATACAAAGTTATGTATTGTTTTAGGTAATATAAATCAGGTTTCTTTGCAACAATTGTTTGATGAGAATCGGAAACATTTAGAACAGCAGATTCAAAATATTCAGTTGTTAAGGGTTGTTAATGCGTTAGAAGAAGCAATTACCGTACCAAAATATAAAAATACTTTCATTACTGCAGAACAAGCTAATTATTTAGGTCAGGCATATCAATTAGCTGGCCAATCTTCATTGAGTGTGCGGTATGAGAGAACTGCCGCGAACCTCGTTAAAAAATGTATGAACCCAGAAGTAAAAGAGTATAGCAATGAAAAACAGCGCATAAAAGCCATTATTATTGGAGAAATTAAAGAGTACAAAAATAATTTAGTTCGAGTAAAAGGTTATATAGAAGAAAAATTTCATAAACCTCTTAGCTTTGTCGACGATGCTTATATTGAACGAAAGTATATGAAATATTGTTCAGAATTTTGGATACAGGAAATAATAGATTTCTTAAAAAGATCGACTGATAGTAAAAGCTGCATTTTTAGTCAAGAAATTTTTAGCTCATTAGATAGTATCGAAAGCTTAAGCAATATTCCTAATTTCTTTAAACAACTAGAGTATTATAAGCTTTTAATAGAACATTATCCATTGGTAAGTAAGAAGAATGAAAAAATTCTCATAAGTCGATTTAAGAAAGAGTATTTGGAACAAACGGCTGCCTACACTGATTATGCTGAAAAAGAATTACTATTTCTGGAAACTTTTCTTGATTTTTTAAGTATCTCTACAAATCTTCAGTCAATTATTGCTGAACTCGAATTAGAAGATTTTTGTTGTGGTAAATTATCGTTTCATGAATTTCTCAAAAAAATTGTTGATCTTGATGTAAGCACCTATGGTGCAAATCTAGCAGCTTTGCAAGAAGTAGCAAAATGTCTACAGCAGGAAAATGACCTATTTTTAATAGATAAATTTAAGGAAGTGATAGGTGCTTATCTGAAGCCAGTTCGAATACAAGAAAGAAAAACAGATGATCGATTAGTTATCGAAGTAAGAGGAAAGAATGTTGTTGTCAGTGAAATTTTATGGCGGCTAGAAAATAATCTTTCAAAAAATTCCAATGTAGAAGAAGTACGGTTTGTTGGTGCTGATGTCATACATATTGATTCAAACCTTAAAAGTGAAGTTTGGCACGGAAGAAATATAGCTGTTCTAACAAAAGCGATAAAAGTCCATGATAAAGTAACTTGGAATGTATCTGGAGAAGATAACAATCATAGTTATTCTAGTAATGCAGGTACTGGGAAGGATAGTCACGGTAAGCAAGGAAAAGATGGTTATCCTGGAGAAAGTGGAGGCAATGTCTTGATTCTGGTAGAAAAAATAGAAAATCCGGAAAATTTTACCATTATTTCAAATGGTGGAAAGGGCAGTAAAGGTCAAGATGGTGGAAATGGAAAGGATGGCAAGGACGGAGAAAGTATTACGAAGGAAGAATTTAAGGAAAAATTTCCTCCTATCGCTGATTTTGGTTCAGGAAGTATATGGAGAGGAGGTACAATAAAAAAGATTCTAAACAACATTACAAATGATTTATTAAGAGTAAAAACTGTGTGGTACACAGGGGCTAATACTGCAACAATTGAAGGAATTATTATAGACATTGAAGATATAGAAAGTTCTAATGCAACGACATGTAAAATTGTAGGTGACAGTGGTAATCTTCCATTATTAAGGTCTTTTGAACAGAATTTTTTTATAGAAACAGTTACAAGAAGAGGATGTGAGATCACCTTTTCTTTTGAGTATGGAGATATTTGGAGACGTACAGTTCGTCAAGCTTTTTTTCTCTATAAAGGGTCATTAGGGCAACCTGGAGGACATGGTGGAGAATATGGATTGGGTGGTCATGGAGGATATGCTGGCGATATAATAGTGAGAAATTTAAAAAATAGCGATCAGAAATTTGGTATTATGAAATGTACCAAACAAGGCGAAAAAGGAGAAAATGGACGAGGAGGTCTATACGGTAGGCATGGGAGAAATGGTTGGGATATGGGCTATTTGGATTACCAGTGCTGGAAGAAACCTAAGTTTCGTTATGAAGGACAATATATAGTAGAATATTATGATCAGGACAACAACCCAAGTGATCGAGTATGGTGTCCATATAAAAACAAATATGCTGGAATCGTAGTTCCTAATATTGAGCAACAAAAGCAACAAGAATATGAAAGAAAGAAGAACACTAGACAAAATATTGACCGGGAGAACCATGCACAAGCTGTAAGGAAAAGAAACATTTTGCAAGGCAGTGTGTTGGCTAGTTATTCTCATAATTTGAGTTCTATAGAAAAAAGTACATTACAGGATTTGCGATTGGATTTAGAAAATATTAAACAACGTGCTTTACAAACAAATATTGAAAATCAAGAACAACAAAAGGACCAGACCATGGAATTAGAAATTAAACGCCATATTAGTTTTGTTCACCAAGATAAAAATGAGCCCTGTAATGATGCTATACCGAGTGCCGACTATAAAGATACTACTAATATTGATAATTTGATTGATAAGTTGAAAGGTGAACCACAATTATTGGACAATTGGCTACAATTAAGGGGCATAGAACTGATCCGCTCTGAACTTAATGATTTATTTTCCAATTTTGAAACAGTAAAACAGAAGTCCCTTGAAGAACAAGGCCCACGGAGTGGTATAGAAAATAAATTAAAAGATATAGAACAGCTTTTGATCGATAAGTATAGACTTGCTACGTTGCAGGAAATTGCAAAGCAGTTATCACCTTATCAAGAAGTCACAGATAATGTAGAATTAACAACCGAAACGGCGGTAAGATATCTTGTCGAAGAAAAAGAAAAAGATAACAACATTTTCCATCCTATTTTAAAAACTCTAAATCAATATCTTTACGAAAATAGTAAAAAGCAACGTGAGAAGATCTCTAAATTTTGCGAAGAAGAGTTACAGAACACCAATGAAACCCGTGAAATCCTGACACGCTCGTTAGAAACGTTTATCTTCGAAGTAGGAAAATCGGAGGAAGCACATTTATGTGTTAAAAAGTACTATGACGAGTATAAAGAATATTTAAATGAAGAGAAACAGAGTTTAAATATATCCTGTGATCAAGATGTTCTAAAAGAGTACTATAAATACATTCAAGAAAAAGGATCACTATCAAAAAGCTACAGGGAATTATTGGCGTACGTTTTTAATATTAATATTAGATTATATACTGAGGATCAAGATAACGGATTATCCCTGCAAGAAAATCACAATTCCCTGTCTAAAAAAACTATTCATGTGTTATATAAAGCTGACGAATTAATACAATTAAATATCAATAAAAATTATTTAAGACTGGAAAAAGAACGTAAAAAGAAAGATAATCTTTACGCAAAGATTCTTATAGAAATTGAGTCACTTAAACAAAAACAAAAGTTTGACGATTATTTAAAGAATAAAGCCTTTTTAGCTGATGGCGTAATTTCAGAAAATAAGCAATATTTTGAAGAAGAAGATATAAAAAAGATCATAGAAAACTTTAACTGGGACGGTAAGCAACAACAGTTAAAGACACGGCTAGAAAAAATTACATTTCAATATATTGGTCAGCAAGGAATTTTGCATAATATATTGAAGCGTTTTTCTAGTGACGGAAAACATGTGTCTTATCAAGAATTATGCTATATAATAAATTCAATTTTAATTTTTAGTATTGAAGGCAGGAAAGAACAGAATACTTTTTCTTGGATTGTTGCTGCACATTCTCAACGAAATTGGATAGACGAGTTGATATTACTGCAGATCGAAAATCACTTCAAAAAACAGTTAGAAGAAAAATCTAAATGGCGAGATTACTTATCGAAAATAGTTAATAAAGATGTTTTACTGTTATTTGGTGTAAAATTAGAACAAGGTGGCTCTATTTCTATTCAATGTATTGAAGACACTTTATATCTATTGAGTAACATTCCGAAGGAAACAGTTAATCTAGAAGGCCTAGAATTATCCGAGTGGCCTTATGTACTCAAAGAAAAATATTGGTTATATAAGCTGTTACCACTAACAAATTGGCAGAAAAGTGAAAAGTTACCAACGGCTTCTTATTATCTTTTATCTATAGAGAATACATTTGGCACGGATTTAGTAGAGAAATTACTCGGAGCACTAAACGAAAAAGAACAAAAATTATCTCCTGATGTGCTTACTAACATTATATTTAACTTTTATGATGAAAAATGGAACTTGAGCGAGGAAGAATTAGAGACTTTGCCCAATTGTACCATTAGTAAATGGACACAAAAAATGCAGCAGAAATTTATTGGTGACAAGAGAGAACGAGATATAACGCAACTAGTCACGCTAATTAAAGGTAACGGTAATACCTCAAAGGGAATTGTTGATGATTTATTAAAGATTGCGAATTCGATCAAAAGTATTTGTGATGAAAACTATGTGGTCGGTGGAAAGTCGGTAAGCAATTTTACAGAAATTAATATTGAACATTGGGCGAAAGAATTTCGAAGTAATAGTGTCAATAAAGGAAAGCAGGATATTGAAAAGGAAATGCTTGCTATAATAGATAGAGCGATAGAGTTAAAAAGAGGATTTAAGCTACGCGATACACAAAGATTAACTGTATTAACATTACTGACAAATGACCATAATACCTTAGCACAAGTGTCTACTGGAGAGGGAAAATCTTTAATTGTAGTAGCAGCATCGCTTATGAAAGCACTCCATGGAGAGAAAGTAGATATTATAACTAGCTCTCCTGTACTTGCGAAACGCGATGCTGAGGTCAATAAAGATATCTATAACATGTTCGGTATTAATGTATCGCATAACTGTAGTGAAGATATTGAAACAAGAAAGGAAGTGTACTCAACCAACCAGATCATATATGGTGATCTATCTAATTTTCAACGTGATTATCTATTGGATAGATTTTATGGGAAAAATATTTTAGGAAATCATAATTTTGTAAATGTAATCGTTGATGAAGTGGACAGCATGTTGCTCGATAAGGGTAATAATATGTTGTACTTATCTCACGATCTTGCAGGCTTGGATAAGCTAGAATCCGTTTACATTTATATTTGGCAGTGGATTAATAGACCAGCTACAGACTACAAAGAAATTTCCTATGCTTTTGACGTTAAAGCAATTAAAGAAGCAGTGCTAAACGATTTGTATGGATCGGTGACAAAAGAAGATATTGGAAAACTTGGATCTAAATTAAGTGAGCAGCATAAAAGTATTATATGGGAACGTTTGTTTACAGCTAAGATATTGGACAGTCAGGGTAAATTATTAAAAGAAAATATCGACGATGAGAAGCTCAATGAAATTCTTTTACCTGAATTCTCTAGTTATAAAAATCGACTCAGCCACCTTTTAAACGAGTGTATTGAAAGAGAAAGATTTATACGTGTTCCTAACTATCTCAGATCTTTTGTTGAAAAGCACTTGGAATCCTGGATTAATAATGCCATAACAGCGTTCTTTATGAATGCAGGACAGGATTATGTAGTGGATGTAGATAGAACTGGAACTAGCCCAGATCGTAATCCTAATATTACAATTCTTGATAGAGATACAGGAACGGATCAAACGAATTCTCAATGGGATGAAGCATTGCACCAATTTTTACAACTCAAACATGGATGTAAATTATCTTTGCAAAGCTTAAAAGCTGTTTTTACCTCTAATATTTCTTTTTTTAAATTGTACAGTAACTTATATGGATTAACAGGCACTTTAGGATCAAAGAGAGAAAGGGATTTATTGCGAAAAATACATAATGTAGACTTTGTGACTATTCCTACAGCTAAACCTAAGCAATTCCAAGAGGGCAAACCTATTCTTTGTACTAGCAAAAAGGAATGGATAAATCAAATATGTAACGAGATGAGAAAACTCGTTGAAAAAGAGGAACGGTCTGTTTTAATTATCTGTGAAACAGTGAATGATGTAGAAGTTTTACACGAAGCTTTTGGGAGAAAAAATGAAAAACATGTCCATACCTATATACGTGATTACGAGGAACTCGATATTATTCAGGGTGACAAAAGGCTGGAACAGGGACAGATTATTATTGCAACGAACTTAGCCGGTCGTGGTACTGACATAAAAATTACAGACGGATTGAGGACAGCAGGAGGGTTGCATGTTTGCTTAACTTATTTACCTAACAACATTCGAATAGAACAGCAAGCGTTCGGACGAGCAGCCAGAAGTGGAGATAACGGTTCCGGTCAATTAATCATTATGGATTTAAAAGGACAAGAATATAGTAATTCAAGGGTATTAGATTTAAAGAAAGAGCGCGATGCGGAAGAATTACGTCGTATATCAGATATTACAGCCTACTATGAAACTCAAATTACTATCGAGGAAGACTGTTTTAAAGCATTCAAAGAGCAATACGAACAATTGAAAAATGATCTTGATGATAAAACTGTACCTACTGAAGTTAAAGAAATTCTATTGCACAGCTGTTTAGATAAATGGGCTTTCTGGTTAGACGAAAATGGTAAATGTATAAAGAATTTGACAGACGAGCAAAGCAAAAGGAATTTTAAGAGCCTGCTGAATAAATTTATCTCGCAATTTAAAAATTCAGATATTCGGAATAGCGAAAAGTGGTTATCTTTCGTTGAAGGGAATCCAGTTCAAATGGTTAAACTTGGAAAGTATCTCTCTCAAAATGAGAAGCATACAAATGCTCTTGAAAATGCCATTGAGCTATATTATAAAGTGATTAAAAATGAACCATATTTTTCTGAAGCGGCGCATTATTATAAAGCGTTTGCACTCGCAAAAAAAATTGATTGGGAACAAAGGCCTATGGAAGGAGAAAATAAGCAAACCTTAAAAGAATTCAAGGAAGAATTGCGAAAAGCTGCAAGGCTTTTTGATGTACATAGTAAATTTGCTATGAATGCTGCGGGTATTATCGGTAAAATTAAGAAAAATAATACTGACAGTATTATTCAAATCGATGCTTACGAAGAACAAAAAAAGAACGTAGCTAACCTTTACTATACGTTTTCACGATCTATAGATGATATTTTTGGCCACATTATTACTCCACAATCTTTTGTTAATTATGATATTAACGATGAGTTGGCTGGGAATCTATATAAAGATCTTCTTGAAAATGGAATACTAAAAAAGCCTAAAGTAAGAAAGAACATTTCCGAAGAAAAGCTAAAAACAATTAGTTCTGGTTACGGAGTATCGGTTGAAACATTGAAAAATTTTCTTTCTGGACATCAGGAAATTAATGAAAAAGAGTTTCGAAAAGCGTTAAAGAAAGCGGTACCATTACCTAGTAGAGAAGAATTTTGGAAATTACTCATTCAAGAAGGAGTCTTAAGTAAAGAAGTTAAATATGTTGTAGTGGACAATGAAAGATTGAAAGAAATTGATCTTCTACTAATGGACTTTCTAATCGAAAAAGTAGATAAAAAAGAGTTGAAGAAGCAATCTCTAGAACACAACAATAAACAAATTCTTTTAAATGTAGAATGGATTTCGCAACAAAAAAATAGTGACAATATCTTTAAAAAAGATGACTTCATAAAGATTGTAGGCGAGGACAAATATAAAATACTAAAAGAGAAAAGGGTATTTTCATTTAACAAGAAGGCGAATATAAATCCGAGTAAAATCGAATCTGCGGTTTTCTCTTGTTATGACTCTATTACTATAGAAGACTTCATTAATCAAGCAAATATTACTAAAAGTGAAGCTGAGAAAATTTTAGTAGAGCTTGTTGAACAAAAAGTTCTTATGAAAAAGGATAACTCAGAAAATAGTGCTTACAGATTAAAGATCAAATTTGATCAAATAAGGCAAGTTCAGCTTATTTCCTGTCCAGTTTATGAGAATGCTGTAAGAGGATTATTGTCTGTATGCTTTACCTACAGAATATTCCTTCAAAAAATTGTGAAACAGCTAGAAGAAAAAGAATTTCCTATCCGTTTGCAATTAACGATCAAACCACATCAAAAGTTAGTTCTGGAGTTACTGGAACAGAAGATTATCAGGCCTACTACGGTGACAACTGAAAATGAAAACTTAGAAGAAAAATTGAAGAATATTTATAGTCAAACAATGACTAAACATAACTTTAAACTTATGCTTTCTCAAGATAAGCTTATTCCAGAAGAGTATACAGAAAAGCTTTTCAATTGTTTGATTCAGAAAGAGTGGCTTGTCCAATGCAATCCAATACAATCTGTACAATACGAAGGAATTGGGATTATTAACAAGGAAAATATTGAAAATCTTGCCGAATCTTTAATGGGAGATATTCTTTATCGTATTAATAGACCCGACAAAAGACAAATATCTCTGAACTTTTCTCCCGATGGAAGCCATGAAAATGTACTGATCAAGTCGCAAAGTATTGATAAAACAGTGAAAAAAGTCTTAGATAACCGATTACATCTAACGAAAAAAGATACAATTAATAATATTGTCAGCACTTTGAAAAGATCAAGAAGTTTATTAAAAGCTTTAAAAGTTCCTGCTAGTAAACTAAAATCTCTCACTGAATTTTATGATAAAAGTAAAGCTGCAAATATAGAAGAAATGCGCGTATTTTTTCTTAACGGATTAGATCAACTTTTACAATTAGAAGAGGAGAAATGGACAAAAGAAATGCTTTTCAACACTGCGGGAGTAATTGCTATTGGGATAATCCAAATAGCTATAGGTGCTGCAATAGAGTTGTATGCAGTGGGTGCTATGACTCATGTTGGTAATGCGTTTATTAATGAGGGTGTAAATGATCTCATCTTTGCTGCAGGTGCTTTAAAATCAGGTTATTTTAGCTGGGAAGATTATAGACGGCATAAGCTTGAAAGTTTAATGATTACAGCCACTACTGTTGGTGTAGGAGCTTACCTTTCAAAAGGCACTAAGTTATCACGTTACGGTCATAAACTAGCGGGGCCTAACTTTGAATATGGTATGAAAATAGCAGAAATGTCTGGAAATCGGCTGATTGAAACTGTTGGTTGGAAAGTAGTATTGAAGGAAGTTGCAAAGCGTATTGCGCTAAAAGCAGGAAAAGATATAGTAGATGGATTAATTAATGCAGGAGTTCATACAATTGTTGGAAATAACTTTCAAGTATTGTGTGAAAACATAGCCTCTGACATTTTATCAAACATTGAGCAAGAGGTGGAAAAACATAACATTTCTATAAGCTTGGAAAGAGCTTATAAGACATTAGGAGAAGAAGGTGCAAGGAAAATGGTGAATGATTTAACCAATAATGTTCTTGCTGAACAAAATTGTGCAGAAAAGTTCTTGCCTATAGCTAACAAGATAGCTAGCGGCGTAAGTCAAGGAATTGCAGAAGCTGTTGGAAAAGGAAGCGAAATAAGTAGTATGTTAACATTGTCTACTCATATTATCAGTCAGGGAATAATATGGTCAGAACGCGGTATTCATATTGCTAATATAAGAACAATTACTGGTAACTTGTTAGATAACTTAGACAAGAAAATAAGAGAAAAATTAGATAATATGCAAGGACAACATGCAGAACAGGGCTCACTAAATCAAGAGCAAGAAGGTTATGAGGAGTTCAAAAAACAAATGATTTATCAATGGAAGTCACTGCTTCGTGAAAAAGCTGGACGAGTTGTATCACAGTATGTTGTAACTCCTATCCTTAAAAAAATAGCTAATGATCTGGTTCAATATGTTGGAAAAAAGATGCAAGAAGCATACCAGTCTTACAAAGAAAGTGGATACCTTGAACGTTTTAAAGAACTGAAACAAGAATATCAGGAAGAGTTACAAAGTAGACAGCGCCATGGCAATAGACTTACAGTAGAAGATGATATTACAAAAAAATATCATAAAAATTTGAGACAGCTGATGATTAAAACTAATAATCCTGACTTACTCGCAGATATAGTCCGAGAAAACGTTCCAATGAACATGACATGTGTTGATGCGTGTACTCAAGTACTACATAAGATACTAAAGGAGCCATTAACAATTATTGTTGAAGGAGATAATGGTATAAGACAAAAATTTTCCTCTGCATCAGATGAAGCGGAAGGGAGAATTATTAAACTCGCGCTTCAAAATAATCATTTTCAGCTTTATGGAAGTGGTGCATCGGAAAGTAATAGTGTTGGCAATTCAAAAAATAATTGTTTATATGAAGCTTTAGCAGAAGCTATACCTCAGATCAGAAATGTGATGACACAAGAAAGGTTCAGAGATCGGGTAGCTAATTGTATTCAACATGATAAAGGAATACGGTATCATATTCAGCAAGGCTGGCATCAACTTCCTATATCTCTTGGTGCATTTGGTGGTGCAACTGAAAGAAAGAAAACAGAGCTAGCACATGATTTTGAATCATCATCCTTTGATAATGAAGGCGACTACAATCAGTATCGGTATAGGGTCCGTAATATCTCTAACCATTTTCAAGCCCGCTTTTATCGTTATCTTCGCCTTGGTGGATTTATACAAAAGATTTCCAATGAAACAAAAGTAACTAGATGTGAAGTAGTAAAACCTGGAAAAAGTAGACATCAAGATCAGCATAGTAATAGAGGACCAGAAATTCATGCATCTCATCCAGTCAGACTTGGAGAGATTAATCCCGAGATAGAACAATTTGAGACTTTGCGTAAGAAACTCGCTAATTTTCTGGGTCATACACAAAATGTTCCAAAGTGGGCAAATGTGTGGCACGGTATAGGTGGAGATATGGACAGATATCAAGAAGACAATCTAAAAATATTAAACGGAATAGATTTTGATCGAAGTCGACCTACCAGGGTCGATGTAATAAGACTGAAAAAGATGAAGGACTCTTTTCTAGCCATACTAGACATGGAAATTAATAAAGACGGGCTTGGTGAAACAGAGAAAATGGCACTCATAAATACAAGAACAGCTATAACTAAAACTACAATTCAGTCAATGTATGAATACGGAAAAGCAGGTTTATCGGGTGAAATCATGAATCCGTATCGATAGGCAACTACTTGCTATTGAATTTTAACGAATATTACAAGGTTAATCGGGTGTTATTTTCTCTACTGTTCTCTACATTTTTATTACGGAAAATTCAAATTCTAAATTAGAAGAAAATAGAGAAGCAAATCTTAGGTCTGCAAAGAAGATTGGTAGAGATTGTTTCGTGTCTTTATGTTTAACATTGTACGGTAATTTTGAGGTTTCATGTCCCAATGCTTTTATTTCTTCGGCAATTTCCTTCGGCTCTGTCGTTGGGTGTAAATTTATGATTACCACTCTGAATGGTTTGTCCTCTTGTTCGGATCACAGTATATTCGTAAACACGTCTTAACTGCTCGATTGTCAGAACGGAACTGACGAAGAAAACTAAAATACAGAAATTACAAGATCCAAAGACACCAAAAACGGGATGTAAATCTTATATACTTTACTTTTAATCAAGGATTCTATTTCTTCGTATATACATAGGGTAATTTATCCGTTAAAGAATGTCAATTCTCATCAGACTGATAATGCTTTGCCAGTAATTTTACTACAGTTGACCCGACAAGTTTAATTCCTAAAGAAGTTAACATTTTTCAACTGTTATGGTTCATCTACTCTTGATAGAATCCGGTAAATTAGATATAAATCTTTCTCCTCATCTGTTTAGCACGCTTAAGTTGAATTTTTTTAGTTTTTCTTCCAAAGCGAAAATGTTGGATATTTCCCTTATTAAACCGAAATCATAAAAGAACTTAAGGTGCTTATCGGCAAGACCAGTAATATCAAGACCTTTCTCGGAAACAAAATATTTTAACTTTTCTACTTGCTATGATTTTTCAACAATATTGACATGGAGAACATTCAATAATATTTAACAATAACAAAAAATTTATTCTTGTAACGAGGACACCATCGATATTTATTGAAACTACATAATTGAGTAACTAGAGCAAAATTGACCTGTGCGACCAACTTGTACTAATATTTACTCTATTTCAGTTTTTTCATGAGCTGCAGGAAATCTATGAGCTATGGATCCTCTTAGTGCGCTGTTGGTATTTCCTAATTTATCGTGCAATTTCAGTCATTAACCCTATAAACTATGCTATTGATATCATAGCCTAAATTATGACGATTACTACAGAGTTGATTATAGAACTATAACATGGCGTCTATACTGTTTGCTAAAAATTTATATCAATTAACACAGAACTCTAATTCTTTTAATTTGTTTAATACTTCAAGCTGGGTCATTTCTGTTTTGCCGATCGAAGAATAGGTGAAATATTTCAGCAGCTTATCAGCAGCAACTTCTGGATACAATTGTCTTAACTATTTGAGTCCCACCGGTTTTCGTGAAGCCCACTCGAAAAATACCAAGCGGCGTGATCGCGCTTCTTTCGTTTCAATTCAGAAACTGAATGACGCTTTCCTATTTTTACAAAATCAAATTTTAAATAGCATAATCGTTACATTTCTCCAGTTCTAAACGTGTAATAACAAAAATAAGAATGAATAATTAGGAGGAAACCAAATAAAGCTTCATCTGATTCTACGAACCGGTAGACTGACATTTTTAGGCAATGTAACGGAGAAGCGCGATCGCGCCGCTTGAGACTTACACGATTAATAAACGTCTTAATAAACCGATATAATATCGGTTCTGAAGAACCGAAACCGAAACCAATATAGCTCAGAACCAATATATTGAATATCAATTATGATTTATTTCGGTTCTTCATAACTGTTGCAAAAATCGAAACGGATATCATAACTGTTTTCAATCCGTGCGCCGAGTAAAGCCCTACCTCCCGAGCGTACCAGTCTTGGTGTTCCGTCCTGTACCGAACACCGTAAGTAGAAATTCTCGTAATTTAGTTTATAACATGAACGGGATAGACAGTTTATTTTAGTGTTTATTCTTCGTCAATGTTTTAGAGTCTTAGTTTCTACAACCGGCAGTTGTCCGTCACGGTAGTAAAGTTTATCTTGGTTTTTTGAAATTCCATACTATGGCGTTAGATTTTCATTTCATCCGTCAATTTCATTTCATAACCGAACAGATCATAAACTCGGCTTTTCCGAAGGGTCGGCTAAAATATGTACACGACGACACTTCCAGGCAAGAGCCGACCTGAAGGAAATTTTCGCAACCCATCGAAACTTCGAAAATGCCCCCATACTCGTACTTTGCCCTCACCCCGCTCGGAAAGGGGCTGCTTAAAGGGCGTTAGCTAGGTTTTAAGAAATGGCAAACATGCATTGATTGGACAGACAAGAAGACTCAGCATACTCGACACGATACGAGCTGTCGTATGCTGAGGATGACGAGGAGATAGATAGTGGGCCAGTCAGCTTTCACCACATAGTGTGATAGTCACCTAAGATACAGTCCACTTAATACACATACGACAGGACTTCATCCAACGAAGTTCCACGCGTCGTTTAATTGTAGCTAAAATAATTTTCGACACTATGGCGCACAAACACTTGGATTGCGCCGAGCGCGTTTAGGCTTAAGGACCCAATGTTTATAAGCCCTCCTGTTTAGTCTAAGTGCACACGAAGGGGCGCTTCACCTGGCCTGGAAAAACTCTTCCTTCACCCCTTTGGGATCATCAAAAGGATAGACTGCCCCTTACGGGACGCGACTCATTTACACGTTCTGTCCGATAATACCTGGCAAGACGGAATATTACCGTCCAGAAACGTTATCAGCGAGCACCACGGGGAGGCGGAGCCGCATTCGGTTTTTAGCGGGCTTACAGAGTGTGCTCTGCAACAGTTTCATGGCAACTGTTGTTGTCATTTCCCCTATTGACACATAACTTCCGTGAGGTTGTTACGCCTGGCTGCACAACGGACAACCATCCACCCCGTGAGGCCAACAATAATGCTAGAGCTGCGCCCCATCTGTTCTGGAACTAGCCTGGATAGTTAGTAGAGCTTTGGAAAGAAGCTCGGCGTTACCAACAGTCTACCGTAGCCTCAGCTGGTTGGGCCTCATCTCAATCCTACGCTCATGGAGCCTCTTCGAGGTAGACTTTCATGGTAGGAACTCGAAAGAAAATCTGCGGACTTCCCTCTATTGGAGATGTGGTCAGCGAAGACACCAAAAGAAAGATCGCCGACATACCCCTCGACTCTTCTGTTCATTTTGTGGTACCGAAGGAAGACTAACGCGGTATTGCGAATGTCCCAAGCAGGCGGGAAATGACGCAGAAGTCATCGAAGGAGGCACTGTATCTGACCACTGACGCCTCCACGGAAGAAGAAAATCCATCGTTCCGGAATGTGGAGGTATATAGACGAGAGGACCGAATCTTAGTAGATACCGGGACAATCCGGAAATTTATGTACGCGGAAATGTAATCGCCTAGTGCCGAGAAAATAGTTGTGTCATCAGCCACCAGGACAGTACCATCACGGAAATCCTCATTAGCAAAGAATTCCACTTCCGCGCTAGTATAGTCGGCCGCAAAAGAGAATAGTAGGTCTAGTTATGCCGTCCCGCTCGCAAAACATACTCGTGGTTGGGAATCAAGCATGGGGATCTCCAGTCGTCACCGCCATACAAAGAATTAGCGGCTGTATCACCAGCAAGGCTGATATTATCGTTTTGTGCCTCGTTTCGCCGACATTGCTGCCGCATTTAAAATGGCTACAGCATATAGAAAATCTGTCTGACCGAATTGCCCGGTGGGGTCTTGAGCTCCAACAGTATAACTTCAAGATCGTATACGGGCGCGAGGAGCAGAATCTGGTGAGCGATATCCTCTTCCGCCAGCCAGCCGATAGCAACACCATAAGTTCAGCTGCGACGAGCGGCCATAAGTTCAGCTGGTATGAGCGGCAACTTAAAGCCGTCACCGGTGATCCAGCCGCCCACTTGGTTTATTGCTTAGAGTAGAACAACTTGAATCGCCGCATACGGGATAAGTACGATCATCCCGACTGAGGATTGAAAAGGTGTACACCGTCGCATCGTATCACAATCTTGTCTTCTATGCCGCTCTCCGGACTGACCAGCCGTCAGCGACCGCGGACTGCCAGAAAATACATCAAACCCAGACCGCCGCCAGCCATCTGCGATTTTTCACCGACCGTACTCGATCTCGGATTGTGCCGAGTACATCCAACCGCCTTTATCGTTTACCGTTAACCGATTAGGCTTAAGAACTCAATGTTTATAAGCCCTCCTGTTTAGTTTAAGTGCACACGAAGGGATGCGCCCCATTAGATTTGATTTGACTTTGCTTGTTCTTAAACAACTCCAGATAGTACTAACTGAGTCGGCAACTATTTGCTTTCGCCTCCATTTGTCACGTTTTATAAATGCATTTATTACAAACATAATAATAAAGAATTGTCCGTTTATGCTAGTTACAAGTTCTATTGCACTTTCTCTTACAAATCACCTGTCTTATTAATATCCCAGTAAATTAATTATTGTCTCATGTATTCATTTTTTATATATTTTGCGAATATATTTTTGCATTTTGATAGTACATTTGATAAAAAATGTAACATTTAAATAAAAGTGGAAAAGTATTTAACTATTAGAAATCTTTGGAAACTTGTTTAGATTCATTTTTTGCTGGCTCAACAGTTTACCCTCTCTCTGTCATTACCAATTGGTTCTGCGGTGGATGCAAAGGTTGTTGGTGGATGCCCACAGATGAAGAATGAGGTAGTAGAAGGGATAAGACGGAGTGGGGAAAACACAACCATTTAATTATTTTCTGGCTTTACTGGTCCGAATATTACAGTACTATAAGCACTCGCCCAAGCCTGCCTCAATTTCTCCAACTCTGCCCGAACAGTCAGTTATAGGACACATTAGACGGCCCATACATGCCTAACCCTTAGATTTCCACAGATTCAGATAGAGTCCGCCAATACATCGGGGCATATAGCAACACTTGCCAATTCTGACCGAGAGTTCAATAAGAGACGTGGATGCACTCCTTGAACTCTGACCAATTAGACACTCAATAGCCAAGGACTATATATTTAACATAAATCCAAACTAGTTTTCCTGTCTTTTCACCTCTGCTGACTGCAACCTCCACACAGGTATTCAACTGGCCAATAGTACAGATATTAACACAGATTTCAATACCACAATCAATTCCTTATATCGAAATCACATTATCATTTACACTAATGATTCCAAAATTTGCACTGCTCTTTAAAGCTGAATGTGTTAGCCTTCATACACCTCTCAGTTTTTTTTGCAGAATGCATTGCCATATGCTGAACACTATGTATGACAATGAACCTTCAGTGTAACCTAATTCTCATCTGCTCTGAAGCTCTTAGTGTTATCTCCACTTTAACTAACCATCCAAGCAATATAAAACAGATATGTTCTAGACATAAAATGCAAACTTGCAGAGGACCTAAGAGACAGCAACAGTACTCACTCTAGAATCAAATTTCTATGGGTGCCATCACACAAAGAACTAGGTACCAATGAAGCAGTCAACAAGCTGGACAAAGAAGCAATGCTCGCAATACACAAGCTCCACAACAGAATGCTGTGGAACTCGAGCTTTGCCAATTGGATGGAAAAAGCTAATACCAATCATACAAATCCAACTGGAACAAACTACTTCCAAAAATACTTCAAGAAGACAACCAAGCCCTGGTTTCATAATCTTCAATTACTACGACTATTAGCTTTGTAAATCGCTCTAGCTCCTTCCAATCATTATAGTCTAACTGAATTTCTCTACAAAATTTGTGCTGTCAACCAAACGGAACATAAACCATATCCTACCATATCCAGTGTCCTCTCTTGTAGAAGAATCAAGTCTCCCCAGTTATGAGTTTACGTTTCCTAGATTGATAACTACCACACATAAAGGAACTGACCTTAATCACCAAATTCCTATACGAGCACAACATCTCTATATAATAACTATTTCACACACATTTATTTTTCCTCTCAATGTATACCTTCACGTAAAGAATAGCATAATTTAGCTTATAACTGGTAGACATAAGTTGCGAACAGCTCGAACGATAATACGTACCCACACTTCCATTTCGATGTATCCATAATATTTATTCATAAACAAATAGCTCAGTACTTAATAAATTAATAATAAATAACAATTTCAACCGCGGGAGGAAGCACATTCATTTTAGCCTCTGAAAACTACCGAACGGAAGCGGAAATGAGAAAACTAGTAGCGACCCCTTTTCTTTCATGGTTACTTTGCAACAACACCTAGAAACAGCAACTTTTGTTACAAACTGAAACACTCTTTTGTTACTAAATTCTTTATATATATATATCCGCGTTACGAGAGAATTTGAATCCGTGTTACCTTCTAACAAAATCCTGCGCTTCGAGTAGACCGGCAAAGTAAAACGCGCACGTTACTGTGGTAACACGAACGCTACAGGCATTTTCTACAGTGTCGGTATTTCAGAACCGTAGACAGAAAAATACATTGTACAGTGAGTCACAGCCAAAATCGTACATCACATATACGAATACGTTTCGTCTCGTGAAAAAGTTCAGGAAGGATATGGGGGAAAAAATATCATGAATCTATATTATAAATGTATTTATATTTATTATGTAGTAGTATCAAAAGGAACAAAGTTGTCTAAATATAAAAAAAACAAAGTTACGTATGACTCACTGTATGTACAGTCTGTATACATCTTAAAACTGTATACAGGTCAGATAGTACTTGATGAAAGTGGAAGGTGTCTTTAATACCGATTTCTAGCAACTTCCAGTGCCAACAGTCAGTCACAGCACAGCAAACATCGGACAGAAGTAACAGATGGAAAAATATATCGAACAATTCAGTTTGGACTATAAATATGCTAGAAACGTTACATGCCCGCTAATAAACATGTTTATGATTTTCAATTACATAGCAACACAGGTACTCTATCCTTCGTTACTCATGAGGTGATTTCTAGGACGGCATATGAGAAAGAGAGATCTTTTGTTATGTGCTTTGTTCAGACTTGATACATACCGGTTAGATCGCGATTCGCTCTTGGTTTGTTCTTGGTTTGATCAAATATTACTTAGGTTCGATCTCGTTTCATCTTCGTTTATCGAAAACAATAAAAATAAAAAGGATTTTGTGCAGCCCGAGAGCGGACATAGTTTTGATTAGTAGCACATAACAGTATTAACGAATAAGACTTGATTCATACCGCAGTCAACGATAGGATCAGATCACGATCAATCACAATAAACGATCGAAAACAAATCAAATTTCGTGAACATATATTTCATATCTGTTCATTCACTCGAGAAGAAAACAATGTTTTCGAAACATAATGTAATAAAAATCGCGTAAATTTTGGATGAGGAGGAAATTACATTATAATAAAAATGGCGATAATTTTGTGTGAATTGAATGTTGCATAATCATTATAAAAAAATCGAATATTTTATTTTGTAGCCTCATTTTGTTCCGATTTTCATTCAAATTTTCATTTTATACAATAAGTCACATTACACATTCATTAACTTTATATATGCATAACTTGTAAACTAATGAATTCCTAAACATGAAATTTAAAATTTAGTCTTTATCCATCGAGTGCCATCGATATATACAAAAAAAGTTTTTAAAAAATGATGCTCCAAAGTAAAGTTCAGCCTAAATTAGCGTCCAAAATGAAATGAAAGATAGAAATTGACCAACGATACCGGCATTTATTTGAAGAACAATTCTTAAGCAGCGTTCAGTATTCAGTTTGAGTTATCTGTTACAGTGTCTGAGAACAGACATATATTCAGTCTACTGGTTAAACTCCAAGCAAGAGTGAAAAACACTGGCAAATTAGACGAAAAAGGAGAGGTTCACAACTAACTTCAGCATCTTGAGTGTGTTGAAAGTGCAGGTGATCGAACTGCGTAAATGATACTGCTTAGGCACAATGTCCTTCATGAACGCTGTCGATACTCACAGATAGCCTACAGATGTAGAAATCGCAACGAGGATTTCTATTTTATCAAAATATTAAATATATATTAAACATGATAGTATTTATATATATATATATGTATACACACCCACATTTGATGGCATAAATTTAAATATCTAATAAATCGAATATGACTTATGGTTCAATCCAACAGACCTTCGAAAAAGATGAATTGCGATAAGTGTCAGTCGATAAAGGTAAAAATAAAATAGTTTTCACTATTCTCAAGAAATTCTTTGAACTTTAGCCATAAATATTTTTTATTTATTGTATAGTTAAATTCAATTCCTAATTTTATTTTCGATGTCACGATCTTCCGTATACTATATTCATAGGAGCGATGCATCGATGCGCATGTGCACTGGAAATTAAGATTGTTAAAATAAGCCACTTTCACCTCGGTTTAAATACTCTGTGACAAGGTAAATTTTTATAAATAAAATACAAATTTTCGAATTATTTACAAGCATCGATTTATTAAGATTTTCTGATAACAAAGTATCACTTTTTTCAATTATCAAAAGAAATCAACTAAACAATTACAAGATGATAATACTATACTGATTCAAATGAAAAGTTCCGGTTAAAGATGTGCCGCTAATAAGATAATCAATAAAATTAATGTGCACTTTGTTCAAGGTTTCGTTTAATAAGGTAGCCGTGAGGGACTCTAAATAAACGGTTACCGATTCATCAGAAATACGTTTCAAGAAGCATGAAATGCATAAAAAGACAGCTAAACGAAATACGTAGGTGTTGTAATAAGATATTGTTTAGATACCTATTTGTTTTCTTTACATTTCCATACAATTTTAAGGTTTATATTATATAGCTGTAACTTTTAATTTTGCTTAAATTAATTTATGAATCTTTGTTGCTATTAGTAATGAAGCTTCTGTTTTATTTTTTTATTTAGAACCTGGTAGAACATTTAAATTAAATTAGTTAATTGAAATTTGTATTTACATTAATATCTGCAGTCTCATTATGTTTCTTTTGAAAATTAGGTAATATCATTCTATTATAAAAATATAAATAGCTTTTCCTAAATAAGAGACTTATTGCAACTACAATTTAAATAAAGTTTACGTATTAATACAGGTGCAACTTGTTAATTCAAAATACAAAAGCATCAGACAAATTTTCATCTATAAGGGAGTACAAAAATAACGATAATGAAAGTAGCGAACATTTTCAACTGCCAAGTTTACAAAAGAAAAAAACATGGAAAGATGTTAACAATCAGGTATCTACATGGGATGAAAGTAGCAACGGAACAATTTGTACATCTTCTTTGACGGAATTAGAAGACACTGCAACTGCTAAAGTTGTGCAACAATGGGATGCTATTGAAAATACGCTTTATGAAGATGGTAATCAAGTAATTCAGACAGCTCTTTTAGAAGAGTGTACACAATGGAGAAAGCAGATACCGCACTTGAGAATAGTTGGAAAAAATCCATTTTTACCAGCTAAAACCAAATATGAAAACCTTGGCAGAAATAGTAATCAGTCAAAGACTAATCTTGATTCATTTAATGATGAAATACTCCCAGAATTAAGTCAGTCTATAAAGGTAAAATGTATCTTTTGAATTCATCATGTATATTAACTTTGTTAAATAATATTATTAGATAATGTTATATGTGACCGTATGTAATTTATCCTACATAGGAAAAGAAAACTTCATCCAAACATAAATTGCAAAGTACGTTGCAAGATAAGATACTCAATATGCTTTTTGACTACGTAGTTTCTGAATTATTGCCAAGTAAAGAAAATGAAATTGAAAAAGATTTTGATAAAGTTTCTCAAGTAAGGATGGCACCTATTCATAGTAACAAAAGTTCTGCAAGAAGTACCAAAATGACTTGGTTTGAAGAAACCATTCCTCTGGATAACACATTTTCAAGTGGCAGAGATAAATTGATAGAAGATCATATTATACCACTAAAAAAAGAAACCATTCATGCTAATTTACAAGAGAATCAAAAGTATGTTTACGTATATTAATCCTAGTAAAAAGTGTTCAATCAAACTTATTAATGTGATTATTGAAGAAGTTATTTATGTACATATTGCAAGTGGAATGTAGTATTTTCTGCATATTAAAGAAATATAATAACAGAGATGGTGGTATTTAAAGAGAATATTAACAATATTAAATGTTTTTGTTTTTTTTACTAAATATAAAATGTATTATTTATTGAAATGTAATATTTAAAAGAAATTGTGTAAATATTATGATAAATTATTAAAACACATTTATTATTTTGAACAAAAGAAAAGTCGATAAAAGTAGTTAGACAATTGCATCATTTAATGTAATACTATTTTTACCAGGATTAGTATTTTTAGATTAATTATATAATTTCTTACATAAATTTTATTGACAGTTGTATTTATAGGAAATATGATAATCTTAAATATAATAACGGAACTAAGAATGGTCAGGATAATACATTTTCCGCAGAAGATAAATTTTTGAGGCCCCATACCAGCAGAAATAAACTTGGAACTGTTTTTAATGAAAAGATTGTAGTCAGCCCTGTGCCATATATTCTATCAACCAGAGAGAGTTTTTCTACAATAAAGACTACCCCTATTAAATTTATGGAACAACCTTTGAATGTTTCCACGTTTCAAGGTATATTATATGTTTTTTAAGCAAAACATATAAGATATGAAAAATTTATAACAGTTCCTTACTACTAAAAATACTATAAAAAATACAGGAAATAGTTTAACTCCAACAAAATATTCAAGTTATCAATCAGCTTGGCATGCTACTGTTTCACCTGCTGTCTGGTCAAAAAATATAAAGCTTGCTCCATTAGACACTTCACGACTTCCCAGTAGTAAAAATAGGTAAGTAAACATATTAGTATTATTATTTTATAAATTTTTCTCATACTTTTTTCTTTTTCTAATATCTTAGATCTTTAACATCATCATCAGTTGTATTGCAACGTAACAAGAAACCTCTAAGTCCTATTTCTCGGTCCACTCCGCCTGTTTCTGCACAAACAATTCATAATAATACCAAATGTTTTGAAATTCAAGGAAGACATATAAGTTCTGGACAATCTTCTAAATTAAGCGTAATTAACACTGGTTCAGACCATAGTACTAAAAATAGTAAGAACAAGAAAAAAAGGAGCCAGTCAAAAACAAAATTATAATGAATTGAAATCAATATTATTGACTCGAAAAATTAATTTTATATTTTAAATAGTGTTATTTTCATTTTTGTAATTTCAACTGTATTATTTAATTTAATCATCAAATAGGGGAAATTCAGTTGATTTCATTCATGTTATTATATGTAAAAGGGAAATTAATTTTTTTTCTTACATAATTTTAAACCAACATAATATTTTATGAAATGTTTGCTACATACCTCTTAGTTTTTTAATAGGTAATATATGCCATAAAAGTTCAGATAATGATCAGTATAAAGTGATGTTTTATATGAATCATAAATGTACTGTTATTGTTAAATAATTGTAAGAAATATTGATGTGTTAAAGCATTGAAACGTGTTCTCATTATAAATGTATTTCGCATTATTATACAAAGAAAATGTTCGTACACTGTGTTAAAAATAATACGTATTATTGTTTTTAGCGCGTAAATATGTATTTTAAATATTCTTGTTGGTTAAAAGAGAAACATATTGTTGTAACTATCTCTACCTCACTCTGTTTACGTGTTAATTAATGCACACGCTTATGTGCGCAGGTGAATATATTTTTGTAATGCACAAATTTGTAAATAGGTGTATTTATTTGTAAATAAATAACAAATAGTGTGTTCAGTATCTTTTTATTTAGTCATGTATGCTACAATACGGACAATATACTTTGCATAATCCCAATGCAGAACATTTTATTTCAGTTTCAAAATTATTAAAATTTTTTTATGTTTACCAAAAAATAATTCGTATAATTCTGTAAAAATTGTCGAAATTCCATTTATTATTTTATCATACTTTTATTAGTCTAAAAAATTTATTACTAAAAATACTTTGCAAACAACTCAATACATTATTTAGCTATGCCCTTCACTCTTTAGGTATATAAAATGACTCGACATCTCTTAATTCATTAATTCTTTTTAAAAAGTTGGATATTAAATAAATTGGTGTTGTCAATAAAAATGTAATTCCAATGTTACTTACTTATACATTTACTTACATACTTTGTTGCCGTAGTTTTTCTCTTCTTTTAGGTAATTTTAAATAAATTATTAAATATATAAAATTCTAAAAAGTAAACACTTTTATCTAACGTTTGTTTAAAGTTATTGTAAAAAAAAATAAAAGTATGATAATTGGAAGCATGATAATCATGAATTTTAAATTATGAATACAACATATAATAAGAATAGATTCATCAAGCATGAAATATGATAGTCTACAATAAATAATATGGAATATTGTACATTTTTTTGAAAGTAGAAAACATAACATTTATGTGAATAATTAAATTTTGAACTTGTTTCATATAAATGCTTACACGTTTCTTAAAATGTTTGAGCATAATTATCCCATAATAGATGTTTGATATGTATTTATATTTACATGTTATTATCCCACAGATGTCATAATATACAAAATGGATACATAAGTGATGATGAATGGTTAAACTCAATGAGAAACAATACAATGTAGCATTCACTATTAATGCTTTAGTATACAAATACAAAGTTAAATTCTGATTCTATTACCAAAAAATATAAAACAGTTTGATGTATGATGTACAATTAAAAAAAATTCTTGTATATAGACAAATAACAATATACGAGTGAAAGTTTCATTTGTGATTGTGTATTTGCCACAAATAAATGTTGCGATTTATTAATGTGTCTATTTAATGTATTCTCCCGTAATACCTAATGGCAAGTTGATTATTACTATCATGTTGAAGTACAGATCGGTAGTGGCGTAGCTTATGGCATCGCAGGTTAACCCATACTAACTTGTAAAACGGTCGTAATTGCGAAATGAAAAAGAAAATCTATCGATTGATTTCACTTTTTTCTGTTATTCATTCTGTTCAATCTTTTTAATAAAAAAATTGTTCTCCCACAATTGATCTCGTACGTTTGATCGGCACTTGTTCGACATTGACTTTCAAGTGTTAATAAACACTATTTGAAAAGAAAACTTACATTTTTAGAACATTAACCTCCTTATAGTAATCTTACAAATTACAATTGGACCAAGTGTACGTTGAGATGCAACATTTTGTTTTTTTACATGATTACCTATTGGACACTGGATGTTATGACTACATGGCCTTTGAAGTTACTATCAAGGAATACTGTACATGTTGTGATCTTCCAATAAAATTTAAATAAACAATAATCAATAAAATTTAAATAAACAATAATTGGCCAGTCTTGATTCATTTCAAGCATTTACAGTTACTGCATCCACAGAAACATATGTTATAAACGTCAATGTTCCAAACATAAATTCAGTAAATAAATAAATACGATTTCTGTATTTTATTTAGTTTTGAAAATATTTGATTGTAACGTATTCAATTATAAAGTACATATATACATTATAAGATGTACAAATGAATATAGCAATGCATACTAAGATTCTTAACTGTTTCATATTTTATACTTATTCATTGGAATATTTTTCATAATTTTAAAATAATTAGTCACATAGAAATTGTGCATTATAATTTAACTTATTCAGGCCATGTAAGTTTATCACAACCAAGTACCCGCATACATACTTACAGATATTTTGTTCCACAAACATACACATTCCTCTTGAAAGATACATACAATACTTATTTGCATGCACTCTTGCTCAATTCACATGTCACTCTATTTATAACACACTCTTCAGTTCATCATCTGATTCAACATATTTTCAACTAGCTTCAAATCACAATTTTTTAATTAACAAATAAATTTAATGAACAATTACAATTGGATTCGATGAATTCCGTTATTTCATGTCACATGATGAGAATTTGCAAGAAATATGAAACATCGAATGAAATAATTTATGCCAAGTGCCAAGAACAATAACTGTACAATTATCGTGATTCAGCTTTCGTTTTTGGTGGCCTGAATGCTTTTAATTTCTTAGCTTTTTTCTGTTTTGTAGCACTAGAACCGGATTGAAAGGCTTTCCAACTGTCGACTCTAGATTGTCGTGATTCCTCAAAATTTTTTTGCCACTCACGTTCTAATGCAGCTTGTGCCTCTGCAGATAATTCTTCCTCTCGTTTCCTTTTACGCTGTTCTGCATCCCTGGTAGCTAATTCTCTCCTGTGGATAGAAAACAAATATTATTTATTATGAATTACTTTCTTAGATAACTTGCATTGTGTGTATTGTCATAAACCTTCTTCGCTCCATATCAGCAAAGAGTTTCATCGTCATAACCCATACAGCGTGTCTGTAACCTTCTTCTGTTTCTTCATCAAGCATTGTTACACCATCTGCTTTTCCTTCCTTTTTCAGTTTCTTTTTCTTTTCTGAAATCTAATTAAGTTTTGATTATTATGTATGCTTTTTATAAATGTAAATAACAACACCAATTTATTATTTCTACCATGTGATCTGTACGGGCTTTGGCTTCTTCAATGACATCCATACATTTTGCTCTAGTCTCTTCATTTTCCAATGTCTTCCATGCCTTATTAACAACTATAACATGTAAATTAACATTAACATATTAAGCTCTCAGTGTTCAATACTCTGTGCTTTATAAGATTCAAAGTAATACTTTTTAAAAGTAATGATAAGACTTGTGTGCTTAAATTTGTGATATTCTAAAATAAATTTTCTTTTTTGTATGTTACTAACAGTTGCTTCTTATAAATTTAAATCTGTATAATGAAATAAATTTTATCATATTTTTACATTAACATGAAAAATGTTTGGGATAAAATTTACTTTGCTAAACAATTTCAAAGAGATTTACATTTTCTTAATTTAATAGAAGAGATTTACTATTGAACAATATAGATTATATATTTATAAGCAATTGTTAATATTTTTTGTTTTTAGAAAGCATTGAAAAGTTAAAAAAAATCTTGCTAGTTGTGTCAAGAAAGATTTTTGACCTGTTAATATTAGAATCACACAGTAACTGTCAATTATGAAGTAAATATCACAAAACCTCAAATAATTTTACATAAAATTTGAAAAATTACCTACCCTAAATCATTTAACTTTTTTCAAAATGGGTTATATATCTAATGTAAAAAATATAAATCTATTTTAAAGAATAAAGGTCCTCTCAAGACTTCAAAGGTGCTTCTATTTATAAAGAAATTGTATTCATTGTAAGACATTTCTTTTAAAATAATGTTTCGTCTCATTTATTTGATTAATGAGAAAGATGTATTTCTTTTGTTGAATTTTAGAAATGATCTTTTCAAATCTTTCACATTTATAATGTTTATCTGATCAAAAAAGATATTTTTAAAAAAAGGATAGTAGATTAAACTATGTTAAGGATCTACTGTTATTTGAAATAAAACTTATTACACACTTTCAAATGCTTGTTGTGCTCGTTCTGCATCATCTTGATTTTTGTCTGGATGCACAAGAATTGACATCTAAAAAGTACAAGTGATATTGTATTACTGAATCTTTAACTAAATATTTGTGTTATACAAATAGAAGCATTGGTAGTTTACACGCCGATATTTCTTCTTGATTTCATCTATGGACGTGGATGGATCAATTTGCAACACTTCAAAAGGATTTAAATTAAAATATGACGATCCAGGTCGAAGTAGTCTGTCAATTTGTTGTTTAGGTGTTAACACAGAGTCCCTCTTTTCGATTTCTTTCACCTACGTAAAAAACAAAATTCTTTAAAATTTGTGAGAAACAACTAATTGTTTGGAACGCGCGTAAATTCGTATAGGTTAGATTTATTTATAACACTATCTTTCACTAGTGAAACAATCTTATTTGTAACATTTCACACAATGCAAAGCGCAATGCAGTAAGTAAGAATAAACTATGTACACCTTTCTAATTGTACTTTTATTGTTTCCTTTTTAATGCATTTAAGTTGACGTTTGGTAAACCTTGAAATAAGGTTATGTAACCATAAATTACTGTCAAAAG